ACGACCACATAAAATAATGTTGCACCATTTAAATAATGTTGCACCATTTAAATAATGTTGCACCATTTAAATAATGTTGCACCATTTAAATAATGTTGCACCATTTAAATAATGTTGCACCATTTATTAGGACATTGGTGCTGTGTTTTAGGTCAGATGTTTATCCTAAACTAAACGCACCAGAGTTCCCTACCATCATTATCCCAAATTCACTTACCCAACTGACTTATCCCATCCTGTTTATCCCAGTCTGACATATCCCATAATTAGCGCACCACTTGAGTTACTCATCGTGGAATGTTCGCCGTTACATCTTAATGGATCGCCCGTCTCCTGTCTCAATGGCACGTCTTGTTTACGTTACAATGTGGTGACTTGCTACATCAAATGGTGTCTGGTGACTTTGTACACTGAATGGTGTCTGGTGACTTGGTACACTAAATGGTGTCTGGTGACTTGCTACATCAAATGGTGTCTGGTGACTTGCTTCATCAAATGGTGTCTGGTGACTTGGTACACTAAATGGTGTCTGGTGACTTGGTACACTAAATGGTGTCTGGTGACTTGGTACACTAAATGGTGTCTGGTGACTTGGTACATCAAATGGTGTCTGGTGACTTGCTACATCAAATGGTGTCTGGTGACTTGCTTCATCAAATGGTGTCTGGTGACTTGGTACACTAAATGGTGTCTGGTGACTTGGTTCATCTAATGGTGTCTGGTGACTTGGTTCATCAAATGGTGTCTGGTGACTTGCTACATCAAATGGTGTCTGGTGACTTGGTACACTAAATGGTGTCTGGTGACTTGGTACACTAAATGGTGTCTGGTGACTTGGTACATCAAATGGTGTCTGGTGACTTGGTACACTAAATGGTGTCTGGTGACTTGGTACACTAAATGGTGTCTGGTGACTTGGTACATCAAATGGTGTCTGGTGACTTGCTACATCAAATGGTGTCTGGTGACTTGCTTCATCAAATGGTGTCTGGTGACTTGGTACACTAAATGGTGTCTGGTGACTTGGTTCATCTAATGGTGTCTGGTGACTTGGTTCATCAAATGGTGTCTGGTGACTTGCTACATCAAATGGTGTCTGGTGACTTGGTACACTAAATGGTGTCTGGTGACTTGGTACACTAAATGGTGTCTGGTGACTTGGTACATCAAATGGTGTCTGGTGACTTGGTACACTAAATGGTGTCTGGTGACTTGGTACACTAAATGGTGTCTGGTGACTTGCTACATCAAATGGTGTCTGGTGACTTGGTACACTAAATGGTGTCTGGTGACTTGGTACACTAAATGGTGTCTGGTGACTTGGTTCATCAAATGGTGTCTGGTGACTTGGTACACTAAATGGTGTCTGGTGACTTGGTACACGCCACATCAAATGGTGTCTGGTTACTTGGGACACCAAATGATGTCTGGTTACTTGGGACACCAAATGGTGTCTGGTGACTTGGTACACTAAATGGTGTCTGGTGACTTGGTACAACCTATACCATAGATCACCCTCACTAAATGGTGTGTGATGTGTATCAGGGGGCTGACTTTGTACAGCCAACAGGTCTTTAGTTCAGTAGGTCTTTATGTTTGGTAGGTCCTTAGTTCAGTAGGTCCTTAGTTCAGTAGGTCTTTAGGTTTGGTAGGTCGTTAGGTTTGGTAGGTCTTTAGGTTTAGTAGGTCCTTAGTTCAGTAGGTCCTTAGTTCAGTAGGTCCTTAGTTCAGTAGGTCCTTAGTTCAGTAGGTCTTTAGGTTTGGTAGGTCGTTAGGTTTGGTAGGTTTTTAGGTTTAGTAGGTCCTTAGTTCAGTAGGTCCTTAGTTCAGTAGGTCTTTAGGTTTGGTAGGTCCTTAGTTCAGTAGGTCTTTAGGTTTAGTAGGTCCTTAGTTCAGTAGGTCTTTAGGTTTGGTAGGTCCTTAGTTCAGTAGGTCTTTAGGTTTGGTAGGTCGTTAGGTCTGGTAGGTCTTTAGTTTGGTAGGTCTGTATGTTCTGTAGGTTCGGTAGGTTTTTAAGTTTCGGTAGGTTCAGTAGGTCTGTAAATTCGGTAGGTCTGTAGGTTCGGTAGGTTTATGTGCTTTGGTTTAGAGCCCCTGGGTCTTAAAACTAACGTCGTGCAGATCTCACTGGGTCTGTCTTGTTAAACTAATTAGCAGGGATCATCACGTGACACGGGCATGTTTTAACCAGCATCATAGACAAGTCAACTAGACAGTGTGTAGCACCAGGTCAACTAGACAGTGTGTAACACCAAGTCAACTAGACAGTGTGTAACACCACAAGTCAACTAGACAGTGTGTAACACCAAGTCAACTAGACAGTGTGTAACACCAAGTCAACTAGACAGTGTGTAACATCAAGTCAACTAGACAGTGTGTAACACCACAAGTCAACTAGACAGTGTGTAACACCAAGTCAACTAGACAGTGTGTAACACCAAGTCAACTAGACAGTGTGTAACACCACAAGTCAACTAGACAGCGTGTAACACAAAGTCAACTAGACAGTGTGTAACACCAAGTCAACTAGACAGTGTGTAACAACCAAGTCAACTAGACAGTGTGTAACAACCAAGTCAACTAGACAGTGTGTAACAACCAAGTCAACTAGACAGTGTGTAACACCAAGTCAACTAGACAGTGTGTAACACCACAAGTCAACTAGACAGTGTGTAACACCAAGTCAACTAGACAGTGTGTAACACCACAAGTCAACTAGACAGTGTGTAACACCAAGTCAACTAGACAGTGTGTAACACAAAGTCAACTAGACAGTGTGTAACACCACAAGTCAACTAGACAGTGTGTAACACCACAAGTCAACTAGACAGTGTGTAACACCAAGTCAACTAGACAGTGTGTAACACCACAAGTCAACTAGACAGCGTGTAACACCAAGTCAACTAGACAGTGTGTAACACCACAAGTCAACTAGACAGTGTGTAACACCAAGTCAACTAGACAGTGTGTAACACCAGGTCAAGTCACCACCCTGATGTCAGCTGACTATTTATTGGCACACTTGGTGTACTCATAGTTCAAAAAATGCTAACCTTCTAAAAATGCGAACCTACAAAATGCGAACCTTCTAAAAGTGCGAACCTTCCAAAAATGCGAACCTTCTAAAAATGCGAACCTTCTATCCTAAGTCAAGCCACCCAGGATATTAATCTTCTCCAATTTTGTCGCCTTTTTATTCTGATATATCTGGGACATGTTGTTATATATGGGAAAATGTGGATTATACGGGGCATGTTGATATACATGAGAAATGATATATATGGGGCATATACATGGGATGTCTAGCTTGATGATATAACAGGTGTCTTTGTTTACATTCTATCTGGGGAGAAGCTTGAAAACGTCTGACCTAGATACATACGCTTGGGCAGGTGACACTAGTATCGAATACAGAATCGAATGCAGTTGTCGTCGGTTACAACTGTAATACGATACCAAGACGTTTCTACTTCTGATTGCAAGACTATTTGTTGTGGGGTGGGGGTGGGGGTTGGAGGGCTATGACTCAACTCGACTTCCTGCCGACGTCATACGTGACCTGATCGAGGGCAGCCTCAACAAAAGACGAGAAGCGTCGGGTCACAGTGATCCGAAGGCTTGTTCTTCACACGTTGCGTTGGATCTAATGTGCACTGCGGGCTAACCCTACCCTTCTAAATTTGGCGCGTTTTTTCTGCAGATTGTGTTGCACTGTGCGGGCGGACGATAAGCTTTAGATCACATGTACACAAAGCTATATCTAGTGAGTTGGTTAATTTATCAACTGCGGTAGTTGTCTCAACTGATAGCTTGATTGGGGGGGGGGGGGGTACTCGGTGACACAACGCCACCCTGAGGTCACACTAACCTCACTGGACGCGCTGACCGATCGATCCGAGAAATCGAACTGAAATTGTGTATCGGGACGGCAACCATTTTTAGACACGGGTGTCACGTGATCTGTGTTCCTCAGCTGCTAGCTAGAGTCACACAAGAAACAAGCGGCGTCGTTATGACTCCAGAAACTAGCGGCGTCTAGAATTCACTATCCAGACAACCAACATATGCTAGAACTCCGCACAACACCACACAACATCACACCACACTATACCACACAACATCACACCACACTATAATCTGAATCACCACATCACAAATCTGACATCAACTTTTGAAAACGACGAGCGAGAGATATTTGTCGAGTGATAATTCACACTATTAGTGAAAACAGATATGTCGTATCTATCATGTTGCTCCATATTGTACTACATCCCCCCCCCCCATTATAGCCTGGATTGATGATACGTCGTCCTACCTCTACCCCCCCCCCCTTCCCCGATTGCGACAGGTGCAGTGTCGACACACGGAAATCCCGTCACGGATGGCTGCACATGTGCTGTTCGACAGGGAAACATGACATTAAGCTGGGGAATATGACATCTAGAGGTAGTAGATGAAAACATGACATTAAAGTCGGGGAATATGACATCTAGAGGTAGTAGATGAAAACTTGACATTATGGCTGGGGAATATGACATCTAGAGGCAGTAGATGAAAACATGACATTATGGCTGGGGAATATGACATCTAGAGGTAGTAGATGAAAACTTGACATTATGGCTGGGGAATATGACATCTAGAGGCAGTAGATGAAAACATGACATTATGGCTGGGGAATATGACATCTAGAGGCAGTAGATGAAAACATGACATTATGGCTGGGGAATATGACATCTAGAGGTAGTAGATGAAAACTTGACATTATGGCTGGGGAATATGACATCTAGAGGCAGTAGATGAAAACATGACATTATGGCTGGGGAATATGACATCTAGAGGCAGTAGATGAAAACATGACATTATGGCTGGGGAATATGACATCTAGAGGCAGTAGATGAAAACATGACATTATGGCTGGGGAATATGACATCTAGAGGTAGTAGATGAAAATATGACATTAAAGCAGGGGAATATGACATCTAGAGGTAGTAGATGAAAACATGACATTAAAGCAGGGGAATATGACATCTAGAGGTAGTAGATGAAAATATGACATTAAAGCAGGGGAATATGACATCTAGAGGTAGCAGATGAAACCATGACATGTAGAGATAGAAACCCTGAAATCTAGATTGCAGCCGAAAGTGTCCTGAGATTTAATTTGTTGTTCGATGGTGTTGCGAAGTAAAAAAAAAGGTGGGGTGGGGAAGTTTAATTGTATTTCACCTCCTTCTTACAGACAAAAGAAAATCAGTTATTTGAACAAAGCGTGTGCGCATGCGTGTCCATTGACTATTGTTTAGGTTCAAGGCTAGCGGATGTTTAATTTCCTAAGAAAATGAATCATTCCAAGAACACGATTTGTTCCATATCAAAGTTTAAAGTGCTCGCGGGAAATCCGTGTCACACTTCCGGTGTGGGGATCTACAACCGAAAGTTTGGTCGAGTGTAGCTGTGATCAGTTGTGTGTGGCGACCTGATAGTGCATCATGTTCTTGTGTTCTGACTTCACGTGAGGGGCCGTTTCGTGTTTTTCTATCGTCTCATACAGTCACTTCACTCTTTTAACTCCGTCTTTGTCGACAGCAGACTTGGTGACATTGACCTTCGCCGGACACGTGTCTCTTACACGGATGTGACCTCTTGCTGCTAATTGACGTCTGCTGTTGTGTTGATGAATTTTTGTGCATGAAGTTACATGTTATATGTTACACTTAGTTATAATCTTTGTTTGATAACCTTTGACCCAGTTATTGACTGGCCAAGGTTACACGGTGTTTGTAACCTTCAACAATGCGTGGCTGGTTTCAGCGACTTCGGGCATAAGACAATTTTTTTTTTACCCAGACAAATGAGAGTCAACAACATTGGACTCCGACTCTTTGAACTGCTTACATCTCTGTGTAGTTAATGTTGGACTGACCTCATTGAATGTTCTAAAACTTTGATTTCCTTTGTCCACAGGGCGCCCCCGCCAACCTGCTAGCATTTCCACATACGCCCTGCCGACACCCTCGCCGTCACCTCCGTGGGACCGAGGGCTGACCCAACACACGTACATCACCAGCTCACCCCCGCCCCCAGCAGCGAGCAGCCCGCTGCTGACGTCATCAACCGTGACCATGGCCCAGTTGGTCAACCAACAGATGATCATCATGCCCACAGGGGGGAACCCGAACGGAAAAGACTCTCGGTGGCTCACCCTAGAGGTGTGCAGGGAGTACCAGAGGAGCAAATGTTCACGCTCGGATAATGAATGCAAGTTTGCGCACCCTCCTGCGCACGTGGAAGTCCAAAATGGACGGGTAGTAGCGTGCTTTGATTCTATAAAGGTAGGCCCTCTACTTTAGCTACGTCATTAAAATAAATCTCAACAATATATCAACATCTTTTGTCCCAACTTTTTCATATCTTCACTTCCAAAATTTTCCCTGTCCAACTTTTTATCCTAACGGCTTAACATCCTGTAACCAAGTTTTCCTACCACTAACCTCCAATGAAGCTCGAACAAAATCTTTGTGCCGTGTCGACAAATGTACTTTGGTATCACATTCGTTTATACAACACTGAAAGCACATCCGGTGCTGGTGTGGGTATGAAGGGGGGGTGTTGACAATTCAGCTTGAGAGGTCATGTCACTTTAAACCCCCCTCCCCTCAGTAACGGTGGATATTTGTCAGTGTACCTGGATATTTGTCAGTGTACCTGGATATTTGTCAGTGTTTTCTGGATATTTGTCAGTGTTTCTGGATATTTGTCAGTGTACCTGGATATTTGTCAGTGTACCTGGATATTTGTCAGTGTATCTGGATATTTGTCAGTGTACCTGGATATTTGTCAGTGTACCTGGATATTTGTCAGTGTACCTGGATATTTGTCAGTGTACCTGGATATTTGTCAGTGTACCTGGATATTTGTCAGTGTACCTGGATATTTGTCAGTGTACCTGGATATTTGTCAGTGTTTCTGGATATTTGTCAGTGTACCGGGATATTTCTCAGTGTACCGTGATATTTGTCAGTGTACCGTGATATTTGTCAGTGTACCTGGATATTTGTCAGTGTACCTGGATATTTGTCAGTGTACCTGGATATTTGTCAGTGTACCTGGATATTTGTCAGTGTACCTGGATATTTGTCAGTGTACCTGGATATTTGTCAGTGTACCTGGATATTTCTCAGTGTACCTGGATATTTGTCAGTGTACCTGGATATTTGTCAGTGTACCTGGATATTTGTCAGTGTACCTGGATATTTGTCAGTGTATCTGGATATTTGTCAGTGTACCTGGATATTTGTCAGTGTACCTGGATATTTGTCAGTGTACCTGGATATTTGTCAGTGTACCTGGATATTTGTCAGTGTACCTGGATATTTGTCAGTGTTTCTGGATATTTGTCAGTGTACCTGGATATTTGTCAGTGTACCTGGATATTTGTCAGTGTATCTGGATATTTGTCAGTGTACCTGGATATTTGTCAGTGTATCTGGATATTTGTCAGTGTACCTGGATATTTGTCAGTGTACCTGGATATTTGTCAGTGTACCTGGATATTTGTCAGTGTACCTGGATATTTGTCAGTGTTTCTGGATATTTGTCAGTGTTTCTGGATATTTGTCAGTGTACCTGGATATTTGTCAGTGTACCTGGATATTTGTCAGTGTACCTGGATATTTGTCAGTGTATCTGGATATTTGTCAGTGTACCTGGATATTTGTCAGTGTACCTGGATATTTGTCAGTGTACCTGGATATTTGTCAGTGTACCTGGATATTTGTCAGTGTACCTGGATATTTGTCAGTGTATCTGGATATTTGTCAGTGTACCTGGATATTTGTCAGTGTACCTGGATATTTGTCAGTGTACCTGGATATTTGTCAGTGTACCTGGATATTTGTCCCAGTGATGGCCAGTTGACCTTGACCTTCCCACCACCATACCCGGCTCTCCCCCTTCCACCCCTTGACGTCACGAGCTGCTGAAATAAATGTTTCTGGCCCGGAAGTAAAACCCCGAGGTTTAAACCCTAAAACGTTTGAGGTTTAAACCCTAAACCATTTGATGTGAGGTTTAAACCTAAACCATTTGATGTGAGGTTTAAACCTAAACAGTTTGATTAGCTACAGAGCTACCTACTCGACCCTCACCACGCACCACCGTCACGAGTGTGCGAGGGCCTCAAGTGGACCTCATCTTTTGAAAACAACACGTCGTCTTCAAGTTTATCTGATACTTGAGCTATCTGCATCTGACATCTCAAGACTAACGGGTTTCTATCTGTAGGCTGCTTGCTATCTCGCGTCTGCTAAATGCTGGTGTCAATGTAAAGTAGCAGAAGAGTGACGTCATAAAGTCGCTATAGAGTGACGTCATAAAGTCACAACAGAGTGACGTCATAAAGTAGCGACACGTGATTGGTCTGTAATGTAGACAGATGTACCTTGGCTACTCTCATCAAAATGTCAAAAACTGATGTCAGCTCTAAATGTCATCTCTAAATGTCGCGTGTTTGTCAAGCATTAAACAAAGGTGTAGATGTCGAGATAGTTGAACTAAGGAAACAGCACATGATGTGCTAAGTGCTCTCAAGTAGACAACCGTCATCTCTTATCTAACCCCCCCCCCCCCCCCCCCCCACACTGTAATCTCAGTGGACCCCAGTTGGGCCCAAGTTTTTATTATATCTGTGCTGTGTCCCAACACATCGCTCAAGTGGTTACCCCGTAAAAAAATAGTTCCCCTGTAAAAATAGTTCCCCAGTATAAATTGTTCCCCTGTAGTTCCCCTGGTCTAAAGTAGATCCGTTCGCCTCCAATGATTGTCGGGAAGTTCCTATCGAAGCGTTACAACTGGTCAATCGGTCAGCTCGGTTTTTGCGGGCCTAGTTGTTTGATTTGTATCAACATTTTTCAGAGCTGCATACGGCAGGGTGGGGAAAACCGTTTTGTTTCCTCATTACATAAGCAATTAGTATCAGACCGACCGTTGGAAGGCTAATTCAGTAGTTCAAACCAAATACTGTTTTGAACTTGATTAAACCAACGTGTAACTCAAGTCACCTGTTAAATTAGGTTAAACCAAAGTTAAACGGTTAAACTTGACGTAACCTGACCGATTTCAATGGCAACCATTGAAGCGTGAAGTTGTTATCTTGTATGTTGTAATCTTTGTGTTAGATAGACCGGAACATACATGTTGTAACCTGAGACATCCCTGTTGTGTGTGAGTGGGGGTAGGGGGGGGAGGGGTAGCACATAAACACAGGTTTGAAGTCTATTTTGGTTGAACTTAAAACGATTTCATACATTTTGTTTGTTTGTTAGCGGATGTGTGTGTGCGTGTTGAGAGATGAAGAAAAAATACCCCTCCCCCGTGCTGAGGATATTTTTTTCCTTCCTTACCTCAATTACCGGGACGTAAGGGGCGCTCACTTGGCCAGCTGTCTCGTGCTGTTTGTTAGCTCCCCTACCCCAGCTGTCTCGAGCTGTTTGTTAGCTCCCCTAGTGAAGGCAATCTCTCTAGGTTTGTCTCCCTTACTGCCCCAGTAAAACGGGGTGTGTGATTTTAAATACGGAACTGACGGGTTATTTTTTTTTTCAAAATTACGTCATTCTCGCCTGCGCCTTTTCCAAAGGACCCTACGCTGTGGGACCTATCAACAGGGACCTATCGACAGGGACCTATCAACAGGGACCTATCAACAGGGACCTATCAACAGGGACCCATCAACAGGGACCTCTCAACAGAGACCTATCAACAGGGACCTGTCGACAGGGACCCACCTAGACCCTTTGGAATAAAACTTTAAACCGATGCCTGTACATGTACGCAGTTCAACTTGTGTTCCCTGTCTCTCCATGTTCCCTCTTCCCCTGTTCCCTGGGTGTAAAGGAACCATCTGCTAGCAATCGACGAGTCTGCTACATGTACCGAGCATACCGACGAGTTCTGCTCGCATAGTCACGTGTCTTAGCTGGTGGGATTGATGACGTCACGGCCAGGTTCCGTCACTCTTGAATTTGTTCTTTGAGAGTGTGGGCATTGAATCATCGGATAAGCAGTGGGGGATTGGGAAGGGAGGGGAAGGTGTATGGATCTTCCAAAAATAAAAAATAAAAACATTTGTGTCTAGTTTTATCAATTTTAAAAAAAAGTTTTGTTTTTTTT